TAGGGTTTAGGGTTTAGGGTTTAGGGTTTAGGGTTTAGGGTTTAGGGGTTAGGGGTTAGGGGTTAGGGGTTAGGGGTTAGGGGTTAGGGGTTAGGGGTTAGGGGTTAGGGGTTAGGGGTTAGGGTTCAGGGTTTGGGGTTCAGGGTTCAGGGTTCAGGGTTCAGGGTTCAGGGTTTAGGGTTTAGGGTTTAGGGTTTAGGGTTTAGGGTTTAGGGTTTAGGGTTTAGGGTTTAGGGTTTAGGGTTTAGGGTTTAGGGTTTAGGGGTTTACGGCTTGGGGCTTGGGGTGTTGGGGCTTCGGGTTCGTGAGCTGCTGAATACTGCGCTCTCGAGGTCTGGAGATCACCCAAAACCTTCACCTCCTTCCCGCCCCACCCGCCACCCCCACCCCCCCCCCCAAACCCTGAACCCTAAACCCTAAACCCAAAAAATATATGCCACATGCAAAAGCAGTAACTAACGAGATCAGCAGTAACAATACCAATAGATCCCCCTGACCTGCCCTGAAGCCCTGCAGTACCCTAAGCCCTGAGCCCAAGACCCTAGACCCCAAAAGCCGCAAAGCCCTCAACCCCTAAAGCCCTGAAGCCTCAACTTAATCCCCTAAACACCCAAATCCCCCGAAACCCCTAAAGACCTAAGCCCCAAACCCTAAACCCTAAACCACTGCTACCACCCTCCTCTGTGCAAACCCAGGCGGCGCAAAGGGCAGAACTTTTGTCTCCCAAACAAGGTGGGGGCCTTCGACAGGGGGTTTTTTCTGGGGTTCAGGGTGCAGGGTTTGGGGTTTGGGGTGTTTGGGTCCTTGGGCTTTTCGGCTGAAGGCTCCCGGTTGGGGGGGGGGGGGGGCGGGCGGAGGACTCAGGGCTTCAGGAGCTTCAGGGGAGCCTGCTGCCCTTGAACCCTTTCTCCTACACCCTTTGCTCCCCTAAGCCCGAAACCCCAAAAACCCGAATTGGAGGGCCCTCTAGACTCTACACTCCCCCCCCCCCCTTCTCCGCCGGCCAGGGTTTGGGGTTCAGGCTTTAGTGATTAGAGTAGACCTTGTGGCTAAGGCCTCCTAGGGCCCGCGCCTAATTTTCATGTGTTTTTACAGAAAGCTACAAGGTGTATAGATACGTATATACTTTGTCTAAATTTCTTTATACATATATATATATATACATATATATATATATTTATTTATTTATTTTTTTTATGTATTTATTACTTATTTATTTATTTACATATACATATATATATACATGGCATGTGCGTATATCGCATCTCTACATATACACAGACAATATATCTATGTGAGCTGCAAGCAAATTGCCACACTCGGACCGCAACCCTCACGCCACGCCACGGTCCGCTCCCCCCTTGGCACACCTACTGGCACTGGGGTTTTACCCCTAAATTTAGGAGTTAGAGGGTTTAGGGTTTAGGGTTTAGGGTTTGGGGTTTGGGGTTTAGGGTTTAGGGTTTAGGGTTTAGGGTTTAAGGAGGGTCAGTTCTCCAAATATTGGGTCTCGTTTTGGGCACCCTGAATAAGGGGTGGCCGCCTGATAGTATGGACCCCAAAATCACATTGTAGAGGGGGTTTAGGGTTTAGGGTTTAGGGTTTAGGGTTTAGGGTTTAGGGTTTAGGGTTTAGGGTTTAGGGTTTAGGGTTTAGGGTTTAGGCCCTCGACCCCAGGGTTCGGGGCTGGGGGTGCTTGGGACAGGGCTGAGACCCCTTAAACCCTAAGAGCCCTTAAACACCTAAGCCCTAAACCCCTAAACCCCTAAAACCCTAAACCCTGAAACCCTAAACCCTTAAGCCCTAAACCCTTTTAAACCCTAAACCCTTAAACCCTAAACCCTTTTAAACCCTAAACCCCCCCCCAAAAAAAAACAAAGATCCGAGGGGCCCCGGCCGCGCTTGGCCGCCGGCGGGGACTCGCCGTGGCGGGCAGAGTCCCCTTGCCCAGGAAAAAGTGCTAGGGTTTTGGGTTTATTTAGGGTTTAGGGTTTAGGGTTTAGGGTTTAGGGTTTAGGGTTTAGGATTTAGGGTTTAGGGTTTAGGATTTAGGGTTTAGGGTTTAGGGTTTAGGGTTTAGGGCTTAGGGCTTAGGGTTAAGGGTTAAGGGTTTAGGGCTTAGGGCTTAGGGCTTAGGGCTTAGTCCTTAAGGCTTAGGGCTTAGGGCTTAGGGTTTAGGGTTTAGGGTTTAGGGTTTAGGGTTTAGGGTTTAGGGTTTAGGGTTTAGGGTTTAGGGTTTAGGGTTTAGGGTTTAGGGTTGATCCCTTTCAAGGATTGAGGGGCTCAAGGGGGTACAGGGTTTGGGGTTTAAGGTTGATTAGCGGATTCCTAAGAATAATACTTGTCATATTGCACAACCCCTTGATTTGGGAATGTTCAAAGTCCAACTAGAAATCGCCGCGCCCCTAAACCCTAACCCCTAAAACCCTAAAACCCTAAAACCCTCAAACCCTAAACCCTAAACCCTAAACCCTAAACCCTAAACCCTAAAACCCTAAACCCTAAACCCTAAACCCTAAACCCTAAACCCTAAAACCCTAAACCCTAAACCCTAAAACCCGAAACCTACGGCTTAGCGAACATGCTTTATTCCATCATGGCCAGGTTTAAGGATTGGGGCTTGGGGTTTCGGGGGGCCAGGGGCTGAGAGCCAAGAACCTTTAGGGTTTAGGGTTTAGGGTTTAGGGTTCAGGGTTTAGGGTTTAGGGTTTAGGGTTTAGGGTTTAGGGTTTAGGGTTTAGGGTTTAGGGTTTAGGGTTTAGGGTTTAGGGTTTAGGGTTTAGGGTTTAGGGTTTAGGGTTTAGGGCTTGGGTTTGGGGTTTAGGGTTTGGGGGGTTCGGGGTTCGGGGTTCGGGGTCTCCCACCCCAACAAAAATTGAAGGGCGTTCGGGCTTGAGAGATTTGTAAATGAAGGGCTTAGGGTTTAGAGCCTACGTAACGGGGGTATGCTTTTTGAGCACTTGTAGATACTTTGGGAATCAAGGCTTCGTTGATTCCTCAACCCCTTACACCTCACAGGCCGAGTTCCCTGAACCCTGGAACCTTGAAACCCAGAAACAAACCTCAATCTCCAAACCCCTTTGTCCCCCAACCCAAAACACGTAGGGCTTTCAAGCCCTGCCCAACCCAAATCCGAAACCCTTTATTCGGGTTGCGCGTTGGGTCCTAGCGTGAAAAAACCCCTTAAACCCCATTGCCGACGAGTCTAAAGTCTAAAACGTAAACGCGCTGGATTCGGCCACGCCTGCGCGCTCGTCCACGGGGACCTGAAAGATTTTCGCTGGTTAGGGTTTGGGTTTGGTGTCTTGGGGTCTTGGGTTTGGGGTTCTGGACAGCCCGTAAAGGCAGAAACCCTGAAACTTTGAAGCAGTGCAGCACTGAACCCTGAAGCCCCAAACCCCTGCAAAACCCACGCCCGAAAACCATGAAAGCATTCAAAGATGAACCCTAAAGCCACAAACCCTCCTCCCCTAAACCCTGCTACCCAGAAACCCTCAAACCCTCAAACCCTAAACGCCTCGGCCTAAGCCCTACCCAGGAACCCTAAACACGTGAAGCCCTGCCCCCTACATCCTCCAAAGCCCGGAAACCCTGAAACCCTGAACTCCACAAGCCCCAAGCCTTGAAATCCTGAAAGCCTAAACGCCCCCAAACCCTACCCTAAAATCCTGAACCCCGAATCCCTAAAACCCCAAAACCTCCAAAGCCGTTTAGGGTTTAGGGCTGAAGTTTTTTAGGGTTGAGGGTTTGGGGATTAAGGTTAGCCCACGGTAAGCTTCCGGCGCAGTCGGGCAGGACTTGCTTCCTGACCTCCACGGAGCAGACGCCAACATCCCGGTTCCTGGCGGCTGAGGGGGTTGAATCAATGAATCCCCTTCAGCTGGGGTCTAGGGTCTAGGGTTCAGGGTCGAGGGTTTAGGATTTAGGGTTTAGTTTAGTCCCCTCCCCCTTAAATTGGAAGACCGCCTTGCCCCTGACGCCCCCCATATACTCGAAAATAACTACAAGGTAATGGGAGTATGTAATATTAGGGGGTAGGTCGGGGGGGGTTTAAGTTTCGGGGGAGGGGACGAAGTATCCAAGGCTGGAGGGGGTCAGGGTGAAAATTGTTTTTTGGGTTTAGGGTTTAGGGTTTAGGGTTTAGGTCTTAGGGTTTAGGGTTGAAGGAGTTAGGGGTTTAGGGATTTGGGGGTCTCGGGATTTGGGGTTCAGGGTTGAAGGTTGCAGGGTTGACGGATTTAGGGGCTTAGGGATTTGGGTTGAAAGAGTTTGGGGTTCAGGGTTGAAGGGTTTAGGGGTTTAGGGGTTTACGGTTTACTTTTCAAAGAGCTTGGAGGGTTCAAGGGTTTCGAGCTTGGGGGTCCTTAAGCCCCCCCAAAGTGCCCTTTCAAGGCCCTTGTTCAGGAGGCCGGGGGGGGTACCTGCTTTTCTCCTCATCGACCTCTCAGCCCTGCACCTAAACCCTAAACCCTAAACCCTAGACCCTAGCCTGCAGACTCCCCATCCCCTTGACCCAGACATGCGTGCCTACCTACAACATCCAACCACCCCGCTATGGCGCCCCGCCACGTTCAACCACATGGACGTTTCATCCTTGGGCATCCACTTTCAAGCTGTGGGGTGGAAATGTGGGGGGCCGGCCCCTCTTAACCCTGTGACAGGCGTGACCCTCGACCCTAAACATGCGCACTCATCTCCGAGTCTCTTAGTCAAACCTGCTGAAACCTACGAAGCGCCTGTATCAACTCCAAGCCCCGTGAATCCCCATGTAGAAAACCTCTAAACCCGAAACTGCATACGCAGACCCTAAACCGAAACCCTATACCCTAAACCCGATAAACCCTAAACCCCAAACCCCCCTAAACCCCAGGCCACCCCCCAAACCCTAAACCCTAAACCCTAAACCCCAAACTCCAATCCCCTGAACCCCAGCGCCTCGCGAGGTTCACCTGAAAAGGACCGAGGTAGACGTCGCTCTTGGTGTGGAGCCACAGCTGGAT